TTCCTAACCGAGCCGGAGAATCTCGAATCATGGACCAAAAGAAAACGCACAAAACGACACCGTATTGATCATCATCAGTCAAGCCCTCCTTCTGAAGAAGAGTATCTCGCTCTCTGCCTCCTCATGCTCGCTCGTGGCTCCGATGATCCTCCACCGTCCGATCACCACAACCACCGTGACTACAAGTGCTCCGTCTGTGGCAAGTCGTTCCCGTCTTACCAAGCTTTAGGTGGACACAAAACCAGTCACCGGAAACCGGTTAGTAACGACGAACACCCCAACAACGATAACGGTTCCGTTACTAATAACGGAAATATTAGTAACGGTTTAGTTGGTCAAAGTGGGAAGACTCACAAGTGTTCTATATGTTTTAAGTCTTTTCCTTCTGGTCAAGCATTGGGCGGTCACAAACGGTGTCATTACGACGGTGGTAACGGTAACGGTAGTAATAATCACGGCTTTGACCTTAATTTACCGGCTGATCAAGTAATGGAGGATTTTACCGACGAGATACTTGGGAAAAGTCAACTCTCCGACGAAGAAACAAAGTCACCGTTGTGATTTTCTTTTATTTTTAACGATCAGCTATAGCTAGTGTGATCGATCTTTAGCTGAATCTGTAGTGAAAATGATTGGAGTGGACTTTGGATTATTTTTAAATTTCTTTTTTTTTTACGTATACGGAAAGAAGAAATCTTTTGTTAATTGGGTTTTGTTTATAGAAGAAAGTAAAGTAAAAAACGGGGGAATAGTTGGATTTTTTATTTTTATTTTGATTAATAATAAAAAAATAGATTAATGAAACTTCAGTTTCTTGGAAATTTCCTTTTTTCCAATTATTTGTTGAGTTTTTCTTTTACCACTTCCGCAAGCAAAGGAACCACTTCTGTGAATCGGTCACTCCCAGCTTGAAGTGATCTGTTTCTTACATTTTTAAACATTTTTAATACTTAAACAATCAGTTTTCTATATCAAAATAACATAATTTGATAGGAGAAATAGTATTATTAATTTTTGGTTATGTTAGTACTAATTATTGAAGTAGTGATAGATCGGTTAGTAGTACCTAACGATGCTAATCCTTAAGTGTCTTGTCGTCTTTGGTCACTATTATCTATTTGATTGGTTGGCACTCACACTTCCCTCCACGCTTAAATTATTTTATTAATCTTTGCATTATTTCGTTTTCACGAGTTTACGATCGAGTCTAT